TAAATAAAAATTTTAAGTTTAGTACATATAAATTGATTTCAAATTTGAAATGCAAGTATACTATCTAAATAAACTCCACCTTATTCATGTGAGTTCTTTTATACATTGATAAAAATCACAATAACTCTGCACATTCTCGTTCATATCAGGAACCAATGTGTTCAAATGATGTTCCATTAAAAACACATACTAATGTTACAAAATTGTGTTTCAAAATAATGTCTTGAATTGTTTCTTGCAAATTCATTTAATATTTCTGATGTTGTCTTATTTAGGAAAGAAATTACTAACTAATGATACCATATTACAGTTACTGACATTGCGAAAATTGCAGTGAGTGCATATAATGCAACTGTAGTACTTGCGGTAAAAAATTGAGCATAATGATACCGGGAATACCAGGCAAAACCTAACATGACGGTCAAAATGATCACTAAGGGTCTACTCAAATCCCATTCATTATGTACTGAACTAATTCCTGTACCAACAGGTATGTCAGAAAATGATTGTGGATTAAAATAGATTGAGGACGAATTTTGCAATGTTGATGTCTGAGATGGTACAGGGTTTGGTCTTGGCTGATGTACTAAACAATGAACTACACAATTGTTATACAAGCCACATCTCTCCAGTGTTTGATTATCAGGCTGCAACACTCGACCATGAAAAACTAAACGCACTAATTTTTGTGCTTCAAGTTCTGTTTGAAAATGTCTCCTACAAAAATGTAAAGAATTTTATGTTTCTTTTGTAAATTTAGTATAAAGGATGTATTAGCTAATAGTAACCTTTTAAAATCTCCAAGCAGTTCTTTAAGGCTGCCAGTAACCAATTTTTGATCATCATTTATAAACTTAAGCTTTATGCTAATTTTATTAGCATCATTTGTTGAAAGATTTTCAGATTCATGTTCTACAGGTTCAGTACATGTTGGTGTTGGTATATTTGTTTCTTTAGAAGCATTTATTTTAGATTGCCTTTGTAACAAAGTTGTACTATCATTATTAAATGAATCCATGGTTTCAATAAGTACTTCCTCTGTAGCAGTTGCTTCAGCTGCTCTATGTGTGTCAGGAGAAATTCCTTCATTTGTGTCTATTATGACAGACAATAAAGAATTCTAATGTTTCGATTATGTTCTTATACAAGTATCTTTAAATAGGACATATCACCTGCAATAGATGGTTCAGGACAACTTTGTGAATTGCCATTATCATCAGCAATTGGTTCTATTGTTTCTTCTTCAGATACCTCTAAATTTGGAGGTCTAGTAAATGAACTTGCATTTTGATGATTAGATCGGATGTCAGCAAGGCGTGTACGTGCTCGATGCAATACAAGTACTGTGCGTATTAATGGTTGATCTGTAATACTTGTAGAATACCAGGCAAGCCATCCTACTAAGAGGACAGTCACAACAATAAAAAAATCTGTCACTTCATCTCCAACACCCTCAATAAGAGTCATTTCTTTGATTTGGAATTAACCTGTGTAAATAAAGTAAACAAAATTATACAATAGAAGTTACTAATGTCACTGCAGGTGGTAACAAAAATAAATGGCCACATATGTTTTGCAACAAATAATTATTCATTGTTCATGTTTATATTTGTTGTACATATTCATATTTGTCATGTTAACTGCAATCACATATTTCATATATCAGGCACAAATTCAACTGTATTATTAAAATTTCACATAAAATAACATTATTATTATTTTGTTTTTAACTTTGTGTTCGCATACTGATAATAAACAAAAAAAATAATTCTGATCTCGTTTCAATGTCTTCAAGGTGAAATCAATAGTATTTTTCCATGCAAGTTGCTGCACAGGAATAAAATCCCACAATAAAATGAATAACATCTTGCATAATAAAAATATTTTTACACTACTTTTTTAATGTTTTCCGGGGTAATAAGCGAACCTTATTTACACGTCTTGAGGAAATCTGAATAGAGATAGCAATTTCATATGTTTCACTTCATATTGTAAAGTAAAATTTGCAGTGTCGTATTATCCCTTTGCCTTCTTTATAATTGTTTATTCTCACCTCAATTTATATCAATCATATACAACAGAGCAAAATTAAAGTTTCTCCAAAAACACTTATAAAAATCTCATCTACAAATATCTGAAGATGACGCAGATAGTTTATGACAACCAGCGACATACACGACTAGTTCATAATTAATGAAAACATGCACCTACGATGCACGAATTCTTTTAACAATTCTAAAGTAATGTGTGTATAGTATAATTAATAGTTTAAAGTATACTGTGTTCATATTGTACAACATAGAGTGACATATGAGCATAATAAGTTGTATCATGTTAACATCTTATGAATTCTTATGTGCCCGCTTTTATGTAGCTACGTACTTGTGTTAAAAATATTAAATAAAATGATTGTATTCCATTCATACTTTTATTTTTAAATCAAGATAATACTAATTTATTAAGAAAAAAAGTACATAAATATATTATTGTATAGGGGAACGATAGTTATGTATAATAATAACAAAGACAGTTAATTCTTTAAATTAATAGTAATATATATTGCAACTAATGAATTTATAATGTGCTACTTTATTTTTTAAATTTACAAAAATTTAATAAAGGAAAGATATATTTTTTACGTGTTATATGGTGAATTATATACCGCAAAAATATCACGTGTCATAGTATTATACATATATATATTATATCTTCGATATAAGTGGTACTTTTAGTTCGATTTCAGTCACACGTCAAAATGGCTGAACTAATTGCGGTACCGTTGAAAAAACCGTCTGACGTTGATGTTATTAAACCACTTACGAATGTTATTAAATCAACATACAGCAGTGCAAGTAATCAAAAAGATTATACAGAAGCTATCGCAGAATTTAGTAAATTAAGAAACAATGCTCTCTGGCGAGCTTTTGAGAAGTATGAAAGTTCCTTGGAGGTTATATACAGGTATGAGTCATCTTTAAGAGATTATTTAATTTTAATTGTGACAGTACTCTAAGAAATTCAAATATTTTAGTGTTCCCTATTCTATGAAATATGTAATTATTGTACGGTTTTCGAAAAAAGGAGTATTCAGAAACAATCAAAGTTCTATTGTCAAATAGCTTTTTATAAAGTTTGTGTTTTTGACGTAATTTTAATCCGATGTTAATGCGACATAAACATACCACAATGTAATAAAATGATATTGTAGTAATGTGTGAGATTTTATTTGTAAGCTATGAGAGATTTTCTAAAATAAAAATTATTCCTCTCCTTTTCAGTTATTATGATCAGTTGTGTGCACTAGAGGGCAAAATACCTGCCCATGAATTGCAAATTCCATTCAAATGGAAAGATGCATTTGACCGTACCATATTCGGTGGAAAACTTAGTTTGAGTAAGATCTTGCAATATAATTTTTTAACTACTTATATGAGAATTTGTGTCAATCTTATTTCACTTTTGACTGACTAATGAATAGGTGATATAGATAAGATAAGACCATCATTGATTCCATTAATATTTTTAGCTATGTTTTTGATAATATTGTGTCAATTGTTGAGAATGATATATAATATTTCATACTTTCAGCAATTAGTACATTAGCATATGAAAAGATATGTGTATTATTTAATATTGCTGCCTTGCAAAGTTCAGTTGCAGCAACACAGACTTTAGAGAGTAATGAAGGATTAAAAATGGCTGCAAAACTATTTCAAGTAAACATATTTTTCTTTAATATAACAATTAAAAAAATTATAAATATCTGTAAATATTTAATTCTTCTTCAAATTTTAGCAATCTGCCAGTATATTCAATTATCTCAAAGGAAATGTTATGATGGTAATTCAACAAGAACCAACACCAGATATTAGTCCAGAAACATTAGGAGCATTATCTTCACTAATGCTTGCTCAAGCTCAAGAAATATTTGTATATAAGGCAATCCATGATACTATGAAAGATGGTGTTATTGCTAGATTAGTTTCACAAACAGAAGAGTTGTATGCAGATGCATTAAAGCTATTCCAAAAAGAAATTTTCAGAGCATTTTGGGACAAAGAATGGGTTCCTTTAGTATGCGCACACAATTTTATTTATATAGATAGTTTATATAAAATACATGTTGCATAATTCTATGTAATGTATTAATACAGATTGCAGGAAAACAAGCTGGATATCGAGCAATGGCTGAATTTTATCAATCATTAGTATGCAAAAATAACAAATTAATTGGAGAAGAAATTGCTAGATTAGAAGTAAATTTTATAAATTAGAAATATTTGAACTTCCATTTTTAATTATATAAATGTACAAAAAAGTAATTACGATACATGTCTTTAGAATGCCGTGGAACTGTTTAAAGCTGCTCAACAACGTTCAAATAAACCTCATTTGTTCCAAAATACTGCTAACAGAGCACAAAGAAACCTTACAGAAGTAAAAAAAGATAATGATTTTATTTATCATGAGAAAATACCAGATATAAAGTCTTTAGAACCAGTTGGTAAAGCTAGTATTGCAAAATTGCTACCATTGCCTGAAGTTTTCAGTTCAAACTTTAAAGGTTTGTTGTATATAATATATTTAATAGCATATTTTTAAATTATATGATTATTTCTAATATATGTTTTATATTTTTAGACCTTTTTGCTGACTTATTGCCTGTTACTGTGCATCAAGCATTATCATCGTATGAAGTTCGTCGTAATGAATTGGTTAATTCAGAAATTTCCAAATTACGTGAAATGACACAAGTTTTAAATAGGTACAATGATTGTGCAAACTTATTTAAATATTGAATTTTTATTTAGTAGTCAATAATTACATTTTAGTGTATTGGCAAGTTTAAATTTACCAGCGGCTATCGAAGATACAAGTGGAACTGAGTTACCTCAATCTGTATTAGAAAAAGCTCAGTATGTAAAAGTTGCAGGTGGAATTAGAACCTTGGAAAATTCTATGAAAGAATTGCCTGAATTATTACAAAGAAATAAAGAACTTTTGGACGAGGTAAAGAAGTATACAAATTATGATCTCTTTTCAACATGCTGAGTGAGACATTGCTGTTTTTATAGAGCGAGCGAATGCTTCAAGAAGAGCGTGAATCTGATGATCAATTAAGAGAACAGTTTAAAGAACGTTGGACACGGATACCTAGTGCTCGCTTAACAGAACAATTTACTGTTACATTGCGAAAATATCGTGAAATTATTAATAATGCAGTGACAGCTGATAAGGTATAAAATACCTATTTCTAAACAAGATTTCATAAGGTTTTTTGAAATGAACTATATATTTTATAGGTTGTACGTGAAAAATATGAAAATCACAAAGAAAGTATGGAAATCCTAAGTTTAGATGGAAGCGATTTGATTAATGCTGTACCAACTGGATCAGCAGTTCAAGAAAGCAGTACTGTTGCCCAACTTAGAAAACTAATGGAAAATGTAGATGTCTTGTACAAACTTTGTATATTATATTTTCAGATTACTTTATATGACTACTTTGATTTCTTTCAAGGTTGAAACATTGAAAACAGAACGTGACGCTATAGAAAGTGAATTAAAGTCTGCTACTACTGACATGAAAACAATGTTTTTGTCTGCTCTTGCCAAAGATGGTGCAATTGATGAACCGAATTTGTCTGTAGAAAATATAGGAAAAACTTATGGACCTTTACAAAAACAAGTGAGAGATAGCGTTTCTCGACAAGAACAGTTGATTGCTGAAATTCAAGTACGTACAAATGATTCTACAATTAGGATATTTCTAACAATACTTATTATTTATATGAAAATCACTATTCATTTAAAACCCACTTTTAGAGGTGTCATACAGAATTTACAGCTGAACAATCTGGTAGTGGTAGTTTAAGAGAGACGATGTTATGTAAGCTAGCAAGCGCTTACGATGCATTTAAAGAATTAAAAGGCAACTTAAGTGAAGGTGTTAAATTTTACAATGATTTAACACAGGTAAATGTCAATCATAATATTTTCATTAATTATGCTACATTAGAATTAAAATACGTAATATGTTTTATAGTTGCTAGTAGTCTTCCAAAACAAAATATCAGATTTTTGTTTTGCTCGAAAAACTGAAAAAGAGGAACTATTAAAAGACTTGACAACAAATTTGAGTCATACTGGTCCAATTACAACTCCTAACATTCCAGCTCATCACGGAGGTACGAACTAAATTTTTACGCATAACAATGTACGTATTTTTCACATAGTTAATTTTCAAAACATCAACATATGTAGGAACATCTGGACAAAGTCAACCTGTAGCAGGACAAAGTCAATCTGGACCATCACAATTACCGTATCCCACGCATTTTCAAGGTGGTATGCCTGTACCTTATGGAGCTGGTCCTGCTACACCATATCCTGCATATATTCCTCCTCCTATGCCAGCAGCGTATAATCCATACGCAACAATGCCTTACCCCACTCCAGGTGATTACAAAAATGCGAAATCATTCACAATATTATGCAATTTTCTGAAATGTATGTCACATTTAGCGTTTTGTCTTTCAGGAAATTATAATCCGTATCAAGGTGTGCCACCAACTCCTTACTCTGGTTATGCGACTTTACCACGTTATGGTGGTAATCAACATCCACCCCAAGGCCATCCATTTTGAAGAATAAATAATGTTTTATATATACTGTGATTACAAAATGTAGCCATGTGAATTTATAGGAATGGGAAAAAATTTATATGCAATAACGTTGTGAAAGTTAATGCGAGATGTGTTTCAACCTGTCCAATATTGAACAGTAAACAGTAATATGTTGAAGATAAATTTTGAAAAATTATATTCCTTGATTGTTATTGTACTTCATGCAGTTGAATTTTTGATATAAAATGTATCAATGCGTGATATATGTTAAGCTTTAAACAATGCTTCAGAAAAATAAAAGATTTAAATACAATAATGCTCATGCAATTTATAAATATATTTTGTAACATAATATATCATAACAATGACCATAACGTCTACAAATTGTATGAATTTCATTGTTATTATTATTCTGATTTATTCTTTGTATTTATAGAGATATAGTTTTATACATTAACATTTTCATATGTACTATGAATAATTATATACATACTATCACATTAATTTGGAATTGTATATTAAATTTTATTGTAATGAATTAAACTATGAACACTATTGAAATAAATGTAAAAAATGTGTAAAATCATTAAATGTGATTACAACTTATTTCACTATATTATTCTTTTGTTTTCAAGAATGTTTATAAATGCAAATATGTGCTATACAATAGAAAAGAAAAGAAAAGAAATAGGAAGATAGAAAAAGAGAGAAAGAATCCTCTATATAGTAGACAGTACTTTCAAAGTACTTTAACTATTTTCAAGTACTATTATCAAGTTAAAGTGTATGATAATATTATTTAAGATTTACAATAATCATAAACAATCATCTAAATTGTTATTTAACAAGAAACACTAATTATTCTTCAATTAAAGGACTCGAAAGTAAAGCAAAAACTTTATTTTATATTATAAGAATCAATTAAATATAATAGGGATGACGAGGATAGCATTAGAGATACGAGTTAGACAAAGAAACGAATAGCGGTAAACGAGGATAACACTAGATAAACGAGTTAGACAAGGACAGAAAATATTCAAATCGAAACTAGCGCCATCTCGCGTTTAGTGACAGGAACTATGATTTCTTAATAGGAACACAGGATATAAACAGAGGTATTAGACAAGGAAAGCATTAGTGTGCGACAAGGACAGAGAGAAAACGCTTCCTATTGGCTGAAGAGCCGCCATGTTCCTCTTCCCAAGCCTCAGCCACGTGGTCCAGTGAAAAATCATCAATAACTCAATAATTACGATGATTTTGTGAATTTTTAGAATTGAAGAATGAAGCGTGGAGCTTTACCAACTTTCTCATGTAGCTTTACTACCATAAACCCTTTCAATAATTAGTTATTAATAATTTTAAGATAGGTTGTCGGGAACGATCCTTTTTATTTTTATACACGTTTATGGTTTTTCAATAATTTCATTGCTTTTCACTAAATTCTCGTGCAACTAACTAAATGCGTCCAAAAGGCAACTCCTTTAGCTACTTTCTCATCTAATTTTTATTAACATATTCGGTATAGTTTAAGAATTATTAAACATTATAGGCGAGAGTCCCCTATTCACCGTGCTCAAATATAGTCAAACATTATAAACAATTGCTAATATCTACTAAACCACACCACTTGCGTCTACCAAAATTATTAAAGAATGTAGATAAAAGTCCATTCTACACTCTTCATGCTTCAAAGTGCATAATTAATCACGCATATATATTGAAATAACGAAATTGTGTTACGATTGAATGCGGCGGGAGTAATACTCTCTAATATAATATTTAATAACTCCTAAACTAAACCGAATACGTTAATAAAAATTATATGTGAATATAGCCAAAGGAATTATCTTTCCATTGCATATAGTGATTAGTATGAGAATTTAGTAAAAAGCTATGAAATTATTGAAAAACCGTAAACATACATGACAGAATGCGGTATCGTTCCCGACATCACGTACTAAAATTGTTAATAACTAATTATTGAGAGGGTTTAGTGAACTAAAGAGTATATGCGAAACTTGTTGAAGGTCCACACTTCATTCTTCAATTCTAAAAGTTCACAAAATTATCGTAATTATTGAGTTATTGATGATTTTTCACCGCACCACGTAGCTGAGACTCTGGGAGGAGGAACATGGCGGTCCGTCAGCCAATAGGAAACGTTTCTCTCTGTCCTTGTCGCACACTAGTGCTTTCCTTGTCTAATACCTCTGTTTATATCCTGTGTTCTTATTAAGAAATCGTAGTACCCGTCACTAAACGCGAGATGGCGGTAGTTTCGATTTGAATATTTTCTGTCCTTGTCTATCCCTATATCTTTCCTTGTCTAACTCATTTATTTAGTGGTATCCTTGTTTCCCCCTATTCCTTTCCTTGTCTTACTCATGTATCATCGAGAGAAAGAACTTCAATAGTCAGCAGGGAAAGTGAAAGAATGCAATTATTTATCAAATAATCAATTATTTATTGTACAATAACTGTAAAAAATGTATTTTACAAAAGGTTACAATGTACCAATATTGTTTCACAGCACTTTACAGTGTATTCATTTTCTTTTGCGAAACATTCATTCTTTATATTATTCCATTATAAAATTAAATAAACTAAGTCCGGATAGCTATAGGAACGCGAAAAAATCCAGAGAAATTTTGAAATTTGAGCGAAAGTCTTCCGAAAATTGCAATAAAATAGCATCGAAATGTAGATTAAATATTATCACATAATATTTGCATATTAAATAACATTAAATCATTTAAAAAACGATTGTTATGTTATAAATTAAAATCAGCATTGCAAATAATTTGAAAAAAATATTGCTTGCTGCGCACATATTTCTATAAGAACTTTCCAAATAAATCTGTAGGTGGTGTCAAAGAAGAATCACCTGCCTATGTCAGCAGATAATAGTATTAAAATTGTTGTTGGTACAAGAACGAAAGTATTAGAAGGAAAGAACAATGATATCTTTAAGTAGTACATGTTTATCGATCAGTTTATACGTTTTATTGCTTCACACAAGTGTAGCTTTCAACAAGTATTCCTCAGAAGCAAATAAAGCTAAATATGAAGATCCTTTGGGATTTCCAACCTCTCTTCGTGAATTAGACAAGCCGTATCGTATGGCAAGTTTAAATGTACTGTGGGTAAAAGCACAAAATGTGTGTGTTAATATATTTAAAAAATACGTATACTTGCACATTCGTGAAAAAATATTAAAAAATTGTGTTTTTAAAGCGTTTGACTGATGCAAAATTGCAATCGATATTCAGTGATTTGAAAATCCATGACAAGGAAGAAATTGCGTATAAACATCTTAAAGCCGAAGGCAAAGATCCGAATGGTGAAGAAGAAGCCCGTTTAAGAAAGAAACTCATTGGTATGTCACCATAAATGATTAAATAGTAAAAATTAGAAACTCTGATAATGTACTCTTATCATTTTTATTTTATTCTAATATGTTTAACATTTTTACTTTCATTTATTGGAAGGGATTATGAGCACCTACGGATTATTGGGGCATTTTAATGATACAGAGAATCCCGAATTATTAAAGAAACACAAAGCTTTAAATGATGGTAGTAATTACGTTGCCAGTGATGTTTTTAAGGATCAAAGGTTGAATAAGTTATGGGCTAAAGCTGAAATGGCAGGTTTTACACGTGAGTATCATTAAGAATTTTTTAAATTTTTTATTACAAAACTTTAGTTATATTAAGAAATATACTTAATAGGTGAAGAACTGCAAGCTTTAAAGGAAGAGTTTCAACATCATCAAAATAAAGTAAACGAATACATGAGTATTTTAAAAGATGTGGAAGCAGGTGATACAGAAAAACATGAAAGTTAGTAATTTTATCATGTATGAATAAAATCTAATTCTAAATAAATAGAGTAAAAGAAATAAGTTGCATACTGGTTTATAGATAGTTTATATCAGAAACCAGACAGTTGGAATGAGGTAGAACATAAAGAAGAAATTTCAAACAATATTCCTGAAAAGAAGATGGATTACTTAGAAAAAGCAACTTTGCTTAGGTATACATATTATATATGTAGTATTAATGTAATGTATATTTTACAAAATTTAAAATATATGATTTCAGAGAAAAACATTTAGGACTCAGAAATGGATATGATCGCTTAGATAGATTAATAGGAAAAGGTCCGAATCATAAGGAATTTGTAGAACCAAAAGTGCAGAATTTATGGCGTACCGTGCTAGAAACGCCATTCTCTTCGGAAGAACGTGCTGCATTGAAAGTAAACATACGCATAAGATATGAACATAAGAATTGCATTTTTATTGGATATATCATCAATAATTTGTTTGTCATTAGGAGGAATTGTTACACTATGAAGGAAGATTACTTAAATTACGTCACTTGCACACAGAAGCTGCTTTGGAAGCCGCTCGTCAAGGAAAGCCTTATGAACTGGACAATTCTTCTATGGAGCAACGTATCAAAAAACATGCTAGGACTGTGCAAAAATTACATGCAAATCTTGAGGACAAAATTATGCAAAAACATTCTGAACTTTAATACATATTAATGATAATTTAATAAATTTATATAACTGTTATTATTTCTATAATAATTGTAATTAAAAAGTTA